GGTCTTAAAAAAAAATCAATCAATTTTTTTGCTCTTAAAACTAATAGTTTAACAGAAATTAACCCTTTTCCTACTACCAACTGTAATATATGTGTAACATATGGTTGTCACTTTATATTTAAAGTAATTTTATTTATTTCTTTTATTGCTTTTTTCATATTTGCTCTATTATCAGTTACTATTACATTTGTTATATTTCTTAAACCCACTCATCTAAAATAATAAATAAGTGCATCAGATATATTTTGTGCATTATAAGGATATCTAATATGTTTAATTGTAAGAATAATTTCATGAATAGTAAAATTTTTATCTAAGAAAGAACAAGTAATACCCAAAAATCCTAATCTATTTCTACCAGTTCACATATCAGTAGTTAAACTAACTGAAATTGCATTATCTTCAATAAATTTTTGAATTAAGAGAAGTGTATGATTATAAGCACTATGGATGGTTTGCTTAATTAATTTAATATTTGGAATTTTAAATGCTGTATCAAGTTCTTTTATAAATTTTTGAAAAGATTCTGTTTGTGTAATATTTAAAGGTTGAGTATCAAAAATTATCCAACTAATTAATAAATTACGAAGTTCAATTTGACGAAACTTCTTATGTGGTGTAACTTCTAACTTATGAGATTCTTGAAGTTAAAAATATATTAAATAATTAATTAATACTAAATTATTACATTTAAATAAATAAATTACTTTTATTTAATTTATTTCTTACCACATAATTTTGCTTAATGTTTTTTTAGTTATTTGATACTTACTACTTAAATAGTCTATTAAGATGCCTGTTGAACTTCTATGCTGATATTTTTTACCACATATTTTACTTGTAATAATCTCTACTTGACATGTAGCAATTCTATCATTAGATACAAACCAATCCCATACCCAACTTCTTTTTTGTGACTCTCCTCTTTTTTTTTGAATTTTATTTGAATTATTTTGATTATTTTTAACAGAACTTGAATCCATGTTTATAAATTTATTAAAAATTTATTAAAAAATGTGAAAACTTTTTACAAAAAAAAAAAAAAATAATTAAAAAAAAAAAAAAAGTGTGTGTGTGAAAAAAAAAAGGATGTATAAATCAAAAAAAAGGAATATATGTAACAAATATTTTTATGAAACAACCAATCTTTTTTAAAGTTAGATAAAACAAAAGCTTTAAATAGAAATTTTATAGAATATCTTAATTGTTTTATAAAAGCAGATCTATCCTTTTTTAATTAGTCATTTAAAGTGTGTGTAAATTTTACGTCAAAATCAAAGAAATATTTATAGTATCATTTTTGAATCAAAAAAAGTGAAATTTATCTATTCCTTTTATAATCCAAGTTGAAATCACAGTCCAGAAAGACATTCTCTAAAGAAAAAAAGTAAAAGAAAAGATAATAGCATTCTAAAGACAAAGAAGAGACAAAAAAAATTCCCTACACTACTTACCTTTATAGTTTAAGTTGAAATCCAGATCCAGGAAGGCATCCCTAAAGAAAAGAAGCAAAAGGAACGTTAATGGCATTTCAAAGACAAAAAAGAAATAAGAATAATTTCTCACATCACTTACCTTCATAACCCAAGTCAAATTCAGGTCCAGGAAGGCATTTTCTAAAAAAAAGAAGCAAAAAGAACGTTAATAGCATTTTAAAGACAAAGAAAAACAAAAAAAAATCACAAGAAAAAAAGCAAAAGGAATGTTAATGGCGTTCTAAAGACAAAAAAGAAATAAAAACAATTTTTCACAATACTTATCTTCATAGTCCATGCTGAAATTCAGGTTCAGGAAGGTATCCCCTAAAGAAAAGAAGCAAAAGGAATGTTAATCGTGTTTCAAAGACAAAGAAAAACAAAAAAAACTACAAGAAAAGAAACAAAAGAAACATTAATGGTGTTTCAAAGATAAAGAAACAAAAACAATCCCACATCACCTTACCTTCATAACCCAAGCCAAAATCCAAGTCCAGGAAGGTGTTTCCTAAAGAAAAGAAGCAAAAGGAACGTTAATAGCGTTTCAAGACAAAGAAAAACAAAAAATCCCATAAGAAAAGCATCAAAAAAAATGTTAATAGCGTTCTAAAGATAAAAAAGAAACAAAAATAATTTCTCACACCACTTACCTTCATAGTCTAAGCTGAAATCAAGGTTTAGGAAGGCGTTTCCTAAAGAAAAACAGTAAAAGAAACGTTAATAGCGTTTCAAAGACAAAGAAAATCAAAAACAATCTCTACACCACCTTACCTTTATAGCCCAAGCAAAAATCCAGTCCAGGAAGGCGTTCCCTAAAGAAAAGAAGTAAAAGAAACGTTAATGACATTCCCAATGACAGAAAAAATAAAAACATTAATTTACCTTTATGGCCCAGCTGAAATCCAGGTCCAAGAAGGCGTTTCCTAAAGAAAAGAAGTAAAATAAAAGTTTGTAATATTTTCAAGACAAAAAAAGGAAGAATTTTACACTTACCGTTTGAATTCAAGCCGTTCAAGTCAAAATTTAGAGTAAAAGATCCAGGAGGAGAGAGGGAGAGAGGAGAGAGAGAGAGAAAGATTGTGTGTGAGTGAGTGTATATGTATGTGTTGTGTGTGTATGTGTGTGTATGCGTGTATGTATGTGTGAGAGACTAAGTGATGTAATACGTAGATTTAATATTATCATTATTGTAAAAAAAAAATAAAAATAAAAATAAATTTATACTTACCTAAGTCGAATTGACCGTCCAATTTGTTCATCAGATATCTAATGATCCATCTGATCAATCCGGTGATATAAACGGATCAATCTGAATCCAGTCAAATTTTAGATGGATGACCGAATATCTAGATTGATCAGATTCAGAGCATACCTTTAGGAGGTAAGTTATTTTTATTGATTATCAGTATTTAATTACACTTGTTACTGTAATTTAAAGTTAAACTAAATTTTTTATTTAAAAAAATAAATTAATAATATAATAGATGGTAAGTTATTTTTATTGATTATCAGTATTTAATTATACTTGTTAATGTAATTTAAAATACACTAAATTATTTATTTAAAAAATAAATTTATAATAGATGGTAAGTTATTTTTATTGATTATCAGTATTTAATTACACTTGTTACTGTAATTTAAAGTCATCTAAATTTTTTATTTAAAAAAATAAATTAATAATATAATAGATAGTAAGTAAGTTATTTTTATTGATTATCAATATTTAATTACACTTATTACTATAATTTAAAGTCAACTAAATTTTTTATTTAAATTCAATAGTTAGTAAATTATTTTATTGATTATCAATATTTAATTATACTTGTTATTATAATTTAAAATCAATTATTTTTTATTTAAATTCAATAGGGTGTAAATTATTATTATTGATTATCAGTATTTAATTACACTTGTTACTGTAATTTAAAGTCAATTAAATTTTTATTTAAAAAAATAAATTTTATTAGTTTGTAAGTTATTTTTATTGATTATCAGTATTTAATTATGCTTATTAATGTAATTTAAAGTCAACTAAATTTTTTATAATAATTTAGATTGTAAGTTATTTTTTTTATTAATTATTAGTATTTAATTATACTTGTTACTGTAATTTAAAATCAACTAAATTTTTTATTTAAAAAAATAAATTTTATTAGGATGTAAGTTATTTTTATTGATTATTAGTATTTAATTATACTTATTTACTGTAATTTAAAGTTAACTAAATTTTTTATTTAAAAAAATAAATTTTATTAGCGTGTAAGTTATTTTTATTAATTATCAATATTTAATTACACTTGTTACTGTAATTTAAAATCATCTAAATTTTTTATTTAAATTCAATAGTTAGTAAGTTATTTTATTGATTATCAGTATTTAATTACACTTATTACTATAATTTAAAGTCATCTAAATTTTTTATTTAAATTCAATAGATAGTAAGTTATTTTTATTGATTATTAGTATTTAATTATACCTATTATTGTAATGTTAATTAAATTTTTATTTATTTAAAAATAAATTTATTAGGGGTAAGTTATTTTATTTTTATTCTTAATAAATAATTTAAATATAATTAAATTAATATATAAATATTAATATTATATATTTAATACAGTCATACCTTCATATAGTCACCCTTCATATAAGCACAACCTCTATATAATCACAATTTTCTTACGTCAAAACCTTTAATTAAAGAAATTACTTCTATAGTCACAATAGGACTATAATCACTATCACACTAATATTTGCGCCTGATCTCCTTTTTAATAAATTAATAAAATCTTCATATAGTCACGTCATGTGATATTATTCTAATAATCTTAAAAAATCCATCAAATTTTTTATTTTTTGAAATGGCCAGCTTTCTTAGAAGTTATATTATCAGCCTTTTATTTTTAGAAGTGCTTGTTCTTGAGGTAAATTTCGAGTTTATTTTATTATTTTTTTTTTCTTAAATTTTAGGAATGATTTCTAAGTTAAATATTTTATTAGATTTATTTATTATATGTTATTTTTAAACTTTTTACATTTTTAGGAATTTGGTTCTCCCATCAATTTAAAAATATGATGAGGGATGTTTGACAATAGAATTAACTTTCTTTTGTTTTTAAGATAAGTGTTATATTGGAGAAGGTTTTATTAGATTTTTTTTCACTTTTTTTAGCTCCTTTTAAATCTTTAGAAATGGAATCAGCTTCCTCTTGTTAACTTGGATTTTTGGAATAAGTATGTTAGGGAAGATTTTATTAGAGGTTTTTTTAACTTTTTTTTTAAATTTTTAGGAATAGAATCAGCTCTCTTAGATTTTTAAGATAAGTGTTATATTGGGAAAGATTTTATTGGATTTTCTATACTTTTTTTAATTTCTTTTCAAATTTTTAGGAATGGAATCAACTCTCTCTTGTTAATTTGGATTTTTGAAATAAGTATTATGTTAGAGAAAACTTTATGGGACTTCTATTTTTTTTTGATTTTTAAAATAGTATAATAATAATTTTTAATATACACTACACTACAATAAATTACCAGATTTATAAATTTTACCCAGTAATATATAATAAAATTGAAAATCTTCAGGTTGCATAAAAGTTTATAATTTTTCAATAAAAGTCATCTGATTTTTTTTATTTGATAGCTGATCAATTATAATATTTAGATATTAAAATAAAAAAAGAAATTTTTTTAAAACATGAAAAATTTTTCTTATATTAAAGTATAAGTAACAATTTTTTTATATGTTTTTTTACATTTTTATATATAAAATTGTATTGTCTATTACTTTACAAATGAGTATTATTTCAGTATTTTATAAATAAAATATTTTTGAATTATATTTTTAAAATTATAATTGATTGGTTATTAAATAAAAAAATTTAAAGTGAATTTTATTAAAAATTCATAAACTTTATGCAATCTAAAAATCTTTAATTTTACTATATATTATTAAGTAAAATTTATAAAATCCGGTAATTTATTATAGTTTAGTGTATATATATAATGATATCATTTGTATAACAAAATATTAATCAAGGTATATCGATATTTTTATTTGTTTTGCAAAGATTTTAGTATAACTTCTAAAAAAAAAATTTTTTTTAAAAAAAAGACCCAAACTTTTATTTTTTTTTTTTAAAAAAAAATTCTTTTATTAGTATTCACAACAATGTAGTATTTAGTTAATTTTTGATTACTATGCAATAAATTAAAAATGATCGATAAACTCGTTCCTTTTTTGCACGTTTAAAAACCTTATCTTTTCTATGTTCTTACTCTCTTACATGTTTATAAATTTCTTTTTTTTGTTTTCCTAAAATGCCGTCTGCTCCAAGTGCAAAAAAATTGCATTCTGCAATAAGTGACGATATGAAATGATAAATATGCATGTATACTACAAAACCCAAGAATAAAAATAGAATACAACAATAAATTGCTAGTTATTTCAATGAACAAAATGAAAACTTGGATATTGATAGGTCAACAATTTCCAAAATTATTAAAAAAAA